TACTACTTATTGAAAATTTCTACCCTTCATAATTTCATTTATATGTAGAATCTAAAAAATAAAACAGATGAACAAATATAACAAAGCTGAAACAGAGTTATAGAGACAAAGAACAAACGAAATGATCTGGTGGTTGCCAGAGGGGAGAGGGCTAGGTGAGAAAGTAAGTAGTGAGGGAGGTTAAGAGGCATAAACTTCAGATGCAAAATAAATGAGTCACAGGTATGAAATGCACAGAAATAGAGTCAATAATTATGTAATATCTTTGTATGGTGACAGATCACAACCAGATTTGTGGTGCTGATCATTTTGAAATGTATAGAAATATAGAATCACTACATTGTGAAATAGGAACTAACATAGTGTTGTAGATCAATTACACTTCAAAAACAAACTCATAGAAAAATAGATGAGATTTGAGGTTACTAGAGGTGGGAAGTGGGGGAAGGGAGAAATGGATGTAGGAAGTCAAAAGTTACAAGCTTCCAACTATAAGATAAATAAGTATTAGGGATGTAGTGTACAACATACATCACATCTCCATATCCTTGCCAACAGTTATTATCTCTTGTCTTCTTGATGATAGCCATTCTAACAGGTGTAACGTGATAGCACATTGTGGTTTTGATTGTACTTCCCTTATGATTAGTGATGTTGAGCATTTTTTATGTCCTGTTGGCCATTTGAATGTCCTCTTTGGAAAAATTTCTATAGTGCCTCTGCCCACTTTTTAATTTGATTTTTGTGGGGATTTTTTGTTATTGGGTTGTTTAATTCTTTATATATTTTGAATATGAAACACTTACCAAATATATGGTTTGCATATATTTCCCCTACTCTGTAGGTTGCCTTTTTATTTTCCTAATTGTTCTTTTGCTGTGCTGAAACTTTTAAGTTTGATGCAGCCCCTTTTGTTGATTTTTGCTTTCATTGTTTGTGCTTTAAGTGTCATATCCAAAAACTCATTGCCAAGACAAATGTCAAGGAGCATCTTCCCTGTGTTTTCTTCTAGGAGTTTTGTGGTATCAGATCTTAAGTTTAAGGCTTTGATTCATTTCTAGTTAATTTTTGTGAGTGGTGTGAGATGGGGACCAATTTCATTCTTCTGTAAGCGCTTGTCCAGTTTTCCCAGCACTATTTGTTAAAGAGTCTATTCTTTTCCCTTTGGATGATCTAGGTAGGATCCCTTGGCAAATATTAGTTGACCATTTGTGCAAGGGTTTGATTCTGGGCTCTCTACTCTGCTCCATTGTTCTATGTGTCTATTTTTATGCCAGTATCACACTATTTTTATTGCTGTAGACTTGTAGTATAGTTTGAAATCAGGAGGAGTGATACCTGCAGCTTTGTTCCTCTTCAGGATTGCTTTGGTTATTCAGGGTCTTGTGTGGTTCCATGCAAATTTTAGGATTTGCTGTTGTTGTTTATGTGAAGAATGTTACTGGTATTTTGATGGGAATCATGTTAAATCGATAGTTGCCTTTGGCTATTATGGGGATTTTAACAATATTAATTCTTCCAATCCATGAACACAGAATGCCTCGCCATTTGTTTGTGTCCTCTTCAGTGTCTTTCACCAATGCAGCTGATAAAATCAAAAGCATTATTGAATACTTCTTCATTTGATTACAAAGTCCATCTTCTTTTTACTTTATTGCTCTGGACTCTGTCGTTGTTGTGAAACATCTTTACCTACTTCTAGATGGTGGAGGCTTGGCCCTTTTAGTAAAATTTCACCAGTGCATAATAACTAGGGTTGTATCACAGCAAAATAGTTGAAAGTCAGAACTTGAAAATACACAGGTTCTTAGTGAACGTTATAAATGTTAACTAGAAGTAACATGAGTTACTAACTAATTTCTTAGAGAGTTCTCAAAGATGTAAGTTATAATGACACATTCCATTCCATTGACAATTTTAAGTCTTAAATCAATGGTAGAAAATTAATGATTTTTAGAAAATTATTGGACAAAGTAATATTTAAACTGCAAACCTCATTTCCACCACTAATTTATGGATAGGATCTCTTATTTTCCTTTCAGATAAATGTAACAAATTGGTTTTTAAATTGGCACACATTCCTCTATCTAAGTTTAGTTCACTAATAATTTCACTTTATGTTAAAATTATGACCTGAAGACAGAAGCAACGAGAACAAGATTCATTGCGTGACCACAAGAAGAGGAGAGACACAGACTCAGGTTGAAGACAGAGCTCATCTTCTGTCTCTTAGTAAATGACACTGCCTTGCTTGGACTTTCCCTGCATCCTGCAGGATGTGAGATCTGAGACTGGACCTTGAACTTCCCATCCACGATACAATTCTCATCCTGCACATTTAACACCCTACCTTCCTAATTTGAGTTGAATTTATTTAACTATAACATAAATAGGTGAAAATCTGAAGCACCATTAAGAAAGGTTTTGATCATTTGCCAAATCATAAAGAATTTCTTTAAGATATAAAGCAAATAAGTCTAGACTCAGGAAAAAGCATAGAAACATGTTATTTACCACTCAGAAAAAAGGATGTTTCATGGTAAAAAGAGTGCATCTCAGGTAGAACCTCAAAAATCCCTCTTGGTCCATAATGGAAGAGACTAGAAAGAATGATGAGGCCATCTATAGAATCACATATTTATCCTAATTATATTAAGACACTGTATTATGAATCCACATGAGAGATCTCCTCCCTCCACAGGAACTCATGACTTGCCTTTGTCACATTTCAGCCCTTCACTCACCAGCTGTGTGACCCTGGGCAAATTCTTTCATCTTTCTGAAATTCATTGTCTCCTTGTAAAATGGAGATGATGTTAAAGTATCACAAGGACAGTTGAAGAGCCCTGGGAACTTTTCAGTCCAGGTGCAGCGTATGTGTATCCTTCACAACTGTCCAATGAAGTGTGGTTAATGCCTTCGGCCAAGGGCCACCAGGAGCACATCTGTGGATGAGCAAGTTGGTGCTATTGTTCACTGCAGCGAAGGAGACAGCTCACCATGGGGAATCATGGGCATCTCAGAATGAAGATGTCTGAACCAGAGAAGCAGAACCTGTTGGAGAGATGTGCTAAGAGAATTATTGCAAGGAATTCATTTACACAGTTGTGAGGATGGACTAGGCAAGTCCAAGACCATAAGGTGTTATCTACCGTCAGGAAAGGCAGGCTGGAGCTCTCCACATAAGCTGAAGCTTCAGCCCATGGTGGAATCTCTTTCCCCCAGGGAAACCTCAGATCTGCTCTTGAGAATCGTCAATGGATTGGCTCTGGCTCACCCAGATTGTCTAAAATAACCTCTTTTACTTAAAATCACATGACTATGGACCTTAATCACGTCTACAAGGTATCTTCAGAGCATCACCTAGATTCATGTTTGAGTGAAAACTAAAGACGATAGCCTAGGTAACACATAAAACTGACCCTTAAACTATTATGCCTTTTGGGTTTGTGCTAGGCGATTTGAAGGAGGATTTAAGAAAGAGAGTCTGTTCTTCATTGGATTCCATCAGGAAGTGGGTGGGGGGTGGAGTAATTCTATAATCAGGTATCTTAATAAATCTTACCAAATAAGAAGGAAGACTACACTGAGGCTATAGCCGCAGTTGGGAAAGGAGCAGAGGCCGTTCATATTACCCAGGGGAGAAGCACGCTTGGCCACTTTCACAACTTGGACACGCTTCATGTTCTGCCTGTGCTGAGACGCGACTGCTGAGTGGCCTTGTCTTCTGTTTTGAGCCATCATGGTCACAGAACGGCTGTCTGACACTGGTTACATGGCATTGCTGACGTTCAGCAAGAAAACACCGAAACCTAGCTGTGACCAGCAGGCCGCTCCTGGCAACACCAAGGCCTAATTAATGGTGCCAGGCAGCTCTCAGACGCCAGCTTTTTCTGTTTCACTCTTCTTCGTAGTCTCCGTCACTGTGAGCTAAGACTGAGCGCTGAGAAACGGAGGGCCAGCCAACAAGGACAGGGTGATTGCTTCTAAATGGAACCTTCGTTAACTTGCGGCTTCCATAACACACGGAAAATTGATTCTTCTGGGAAAAAAAGGGTCTGTCTCTCTGAAACCTTCCTTTGACATTAGCTCAGTCCCTGGTTCCTCAAAAGTACCTGGGATTTTAATGTGGCAGGATAAAAAATGTTAAAATATCCAGTAGGTGAATAGAAGAAAACAATTTTCTAAGTCACAGCAGTTCCTTGTATTCTGCCCTCAACATTTGACGTGACATTCTTAAATTTAAAAAAAAACTATACAGCAAGCCAGACAGAGCTTCCTTTAATGTAATCAATGTCCCCCCAATTCTTTCAAAGGTAGATAGGTTCACCAAAACACAGAGCATAAATATTCAAGGCAGGGAAAACATACAAATGGAAGATCATGCAGTTACCTTAGGCGGCCCTGAATGACATGGTAAGTCCTTTTATTACCCTGGGTGCAGTCAGTGGAGCTTTGGAGAAGATGAGAAGAGTAATTTACTCAACTGGATTTATAGAAGCAGAAAAGGCAGGGGTACTCCTTGGCTACCACCAGCAGAAATCCCCTGGGTCACCCAGTGTTTAGAGAATTCCACACGTGCTAGGGAAGCGAGCAGAAAGACGATTAGCCCACATATGGAGGCCAGGGAAAGGGGAGGGGCTGAGGGCTGCCAGGGAAGCCATCAGTTCAAGGGAGAATTCTTGGAAGTTGTAACCCAGACAGTCCTGTCAGATACCATATTAGTGATGACCTCATTTATCCATGAGACTGCTTAGAAATTCTCACCCGTCTTGTCACCAGCAGGCAGACACACATGCAAGAGGATTCTGATTTCATACACTCCCTCCTTTCATGGAAAACTCCGTCAGGTCCACTGTGAGTGGAGGCTGCATCAGGACCAGGGGATTTCCCAACCCCGTCCAGGCCCCTTAGCACAAAGTCTTCAATCGGCAACTGAGGCGTCATCATAGGGGATTTTTCTGATTGGCCAAAACCTGACCGGGCAGAGTCAGTTTGGGCGTCTTTAGAGCTCCTTCTCAGCTCAGCCTTCATCACTGCCGTGCAGCCCAGAAGACCGACCGCTGAGACCACCTGGAGAAGAGGATGATCCTAAACAGAGCTCTGATTCTGGGGGTCCTCACCCTGACCACCATAATGAGCCCCTGCGGAGGTCAAGACATCTTGGGTGAGTTTGCAGCTGGGAGATGTGGCGACTAGAGTTGGGGAGCAGGGAATTGGAGAGGAAAAAACATAGAGATTGGCATAGAAATAGTAGGGACTCCTCAAAGCGTTCTCAATATTAAGTAAATTTAAAAATTACAGTCGTTCCTCCTTCAGGAAACTAAGGTCCCACCTCACGCCCTCCGCGACCTGTGCTGTTGTGGAGTGCATCAAGGACATCATTCTGCTTCTGATACCGGATCCAGTGAAGGTGTCCTGGAGGGGCCCAGGGCATTCACTCGCGGTTGCCTCAAAGATTAGAGGTGTTTCCACAAGTAGATGTTTTGTTACAAAAATTTCAAGAACTGTTGCTCCCAAATTTCTCTGAACAAACTTTGAAGCTTTTTACATATTTCTCCTGCAGTTTATCTTGCGGTAAATACTTCCATGAATTATGTATAGTATGTAGATGTAAAGAAGGGTGACCTTTTCTTAGTCTCAGATTTACATACATTTCCTGGCTGGAATCTGGCACAGGTGGGGAATGGGTCAGCGAGCCCAGCAGATACCTTTAGACAAGTCATTTTACCAATGGTCCTCACCAATCTCATTACCTCACACGTGTCACCCCACAAATAAATAAAATGGGTGTGTAGATATGCTTTCTTAGTTAAGACACACAAATGTCAAAAATTATTCTTATTTTTAGTATTACCATTACAGGTGTAGCTTCACTTTTTTTCTTTAACAAAACAAGAAGTTTATTTTTATTTTAAATTGAGAACTTTATGATGAGCAACTTGATGAATTAAATTACATTGTTTTCAAATTGTCAGCCTGTTCTTCACCAAATCTCCTGTTCTTCACCCCGTCTAGAGAAGGAAGTCCTTCAAGAAGAAGAATGGACAAGCACAAATTGTTTATTATGTTCCCCAGCCCCCTCTGCCTTTGCTGTCCACCTCTTCTACCCTCTCTTCATACTTTCCTTTACGATCCTTTCCTTCTAGGATCCATCCCTGGCTCATGTCTCTGTTGTTTCATAGACATGAAAAGTGGGTTTGTAAAAATCAAAGTAGAAAGACCAGATAGTTCAAAGGGGAAGTGAAATGGGTTTACTCTAACCTTCAGCAACTTTACTAACCATGACTGCTCCCATTCTAATTTTGTGTGGTACTGGAAGTTGCTCCTGCTTCTCCAGAGCACTTCAGAATTTTCTTTCTTCAACGTCACACCGGAGTCCTGGGCAGGCTGGGCACAGTGGGCACAGTGCCAAGGGCCTGCAATGCTTGTAGGGCCCCATAAAACACTTTTTTATTTTAAAATTGGAAAAAGGTGAACTTTTAGGATTGGGGAAAATATTCTAATTTTTAATGCAATCTAGATTATGTTTGTCTTTATACCAGTATGGTCATAAAATATGATTTTTAATATTCTTTTAAAAGAAGGGACTCACAAAGCAACAGTGCTTAGGACTCACAAATCATAATGCACGTCTGGTCACTGCTGATTCTGACTTTCATACAGTTCTGCTACCCCTTTGTCTGTCAGTCTTCTCCAAAATCTCTGTGATGCTCAAGAATAGCAATTGCTGTTCAATTTTTAAGCACAGCAAGCTAAATTTGGGGAGTTCAAAGACAAAAAGACATGCTTTCTGCCCCCTAGAGGGTGCACAGATTAGTGATGGAAAGAAAATGGTGCAGGAGAGCAGAAGGGCCATTGCTGAGCAGGACAGAGGATCCAGCTAAGGATAAAACTGCAAAACTGAATTGTTTCCAGTTGGCACAGAAGTGTGATGTTTTCAGCCACAATTGGCAGCCAAGGCAAGGATCTTGAAAAGAATAATCGCATATATTCATGTCTGAAAAAGAAATCAAGAAGATTCATTGCAAAGATAAGGAGGTTTTGTTTCAGTGCCTTTCAACTAATCAGACAACTACCAACACTAAGGGAGAGGAAGCAAGTGCTGAGAATTTTGTATGCAGACTATGGTGCAGTCACCGTGTAAAGCCCACAACACATGAAAGTCAGTTTCTCCTGTCACTTTGCTTAATGAGGTTCTTTTATCTCCCTCTGTTTTCCACCTTCATGCTCACCCGACTCAGCTGACCATGTTGCCTCCTATGGCGTAAATGTCTACCAGTCTTACGGTCCTTCTGGCCAATATACCCACGAATTTGATGGAGATGAGCAGTTCTACGTGGACCTGGAGAAGAAGGAGACTGTCTGGCAGCTGCCTGTGTTTAGCAAGTTTACAAGTTTTGACCCGCAAGGTGCACTGAGAAACTTAGACGTAGGGAAACATAATTTGGACATTATGATTAAACGCTCCAACTCTACTGCTGCTACCAATGGTATGTGTTCACCATGCTGTCTCTCTTTATTGAATCTATCCCTTCATACCAGGCCTCACTCCCCTCATCCCTAGGAGTAGATACCTTTCACCACTCTATAAAATTCTCACCTTTCCAAGGAGTCTCAGATTTTCTCTGAACCCTCATCCTCCCCCTTACTACAAATCACATGTCTCCACGTGATACAAAGATCCCTACTTCCGTAACACAATCTTTGAACCTTTTGAGGTGAGCTCCCATAGCCCTCCCACCTGACAAGCAGGTCCTCAAAAAGAAGGGGACAGGGATAAAGCAGAGGGAGTGAATAGTGGGTCCCAAGCAGAAGGGAATAAGAGCTCTTCCACTATCACACTGGGCAGTGTTGGTGGGCAGGCTCCCCAGGACACAGTGTGGGACCCCAGGGCAGAGCTGTTCTCATTTCACAGCAGTGCTGTTTCCTCACCATAGAGGTTCCTGAGGTGACTGTGTTTCCCAAGGCCCCCGTGATGCTGGGCCAGCCCAACACCCTCATCTGTCACGTGGACAACATCTTCCCTCCTGTGATCAGCATCACGTGGTTGAGGAATGGGCGCTCTGTCACAGAAGGCGTTTCTGAGACCAGCTTCCTCTCCAAAAATGATCATTCCTTCCTCAAGATCAGTTATCTCACCTTCCTCCCTTCTGATGATGATATTTATGACTGTAAAGTGGAGCACTGGGGCCTGGATGAGCCACTCCTGAAACACTGGGGTATGTATAAGTTCCACCCCTTTTGGAACTTTCTTTTCTCGGTCGAGTCTAGAACATCCTGCCTCTTATCCCCTAGTCTTCATGGCCCCAAACTTCACACTTCCAATATTTCTAATGTAGACCTCACTCTCCTCCCTAAGTCCCATGCCCCAAGACCTTGCAGAACCAATCCTCCCTCACCCCATCCCACGTACACACACAGAAACACTCTGTATTGTGACCTCCACAACTTCACTCTCACAGAACCTGAGATTCCAACCCCCATGTCAGAGCTGACGGAGACTGTGGTCTGCGCCCTGGGGTTGACCATGGGCCTCATAGGCATCGTGGTGGGCACTGTCTTCATTATCCAAGGCTTGCGCTCAGGTGCTCCCTCCAGACACCAAGGACCCTTATGAGTCACACTCCAGAAGGGAAGGTAAGAATTCAAATTTTTTTAGAGCTAGAGACCCAGTACAGGAAGAAGGAAATTGGGAGGAGGTTTTGAACACAAATGTGCTAAAAAGTTGCAGAATTGGGAAACAGCATGATAATGGCCCAGGAGCCCCTAGGACCCACCTGCGTCGTGTTTGTCCTGCTGCAGGTGCACTGCCCATCTGCAAGAGAGAAGAGCGGATGTGCTAGATGACCTAGAACTATTTTCTGGCCAAGTTCGTCATATACCTTCTCTCCTCCTGCACTCCTCCTCTCACCTCTTCTCTGGGACTTAAGGTGCCGTATCATCTCAGAACTCTCATACGTAGCCCTTGGAACTCTCCCCGTGGCCTCCTAGTTTTTTTCTTTCCTAAATTGTTCCCTATTGGAGATCCCTGAGCTATCCCACCCAGCTACTTAATCCCTCAGTGACCCTAAACTAATGTATCCATGGAAGCAATAAATCCCTTTACGAGGTCTTTACTGAATTTTTTCCTGTCTTTCATCTCAAGGTTGACTAGGTCTCTTACTCTACAGGCCCATTTGATCTCATTTCCCAGATCATGTTTCACACCCAGTAACACAGGAGCAAACACGGTACTTTGCTACGTTAGCTGAGGTTAATATTTCTCTCTTCCTTTTTTTCCTGTCCGTGGCCACTGCCACCCACCCCCCCAAATCAGACTTCAATGAAAGTAATAAATATATACCCTCTGCCTTTGGTGTAGATCTGTTAGAACACAAATACAAAAAAGCAGATGTAAAACTTTACTCATTTTACTATTACTTTTAAAATTATGATGGCAAAATAAGGTAGCAGAAAGAAATTTTGAATATGAAAAGTACCAAAAGTCAAGATTGGTTCCCCAAATTTTTAATTTTTAAAGAGTTAACGGTGATAAAAGTAGCTTTCTTCTCCCCTCCTCACACATGAAGAGATAAGAGTTGTGTAGGCAGTAAAAGAAATGTCTGATAGGAGAATTGAGAATAAGAAAGCAGGTATCTGCGAGGGACCAAATACGCTGTCCTTACTTAGGGTTAGTAACAAGGAAAGGGGATGGGGTAGAAACCACAGAGATATTTGGGTCCATAGAACACAGGTGTAGTTTGCCTCATCTCCTACATGAATCCTGCCAGATACCCACATAGACTTCCCTGACGTGGCATGTCGGGGGCAGCAGAGTGAACAGGGCTGCAGGATGTCCCTAGGACAGTAAGCCTAAGCCAGGCTCGCTGAGTCCCTGTGCATCCTTGTGTATCCAGTAGAAGACCCCACTAACCCCAGCCCCCTGCCCCTCGCCCTCCCGGCTAAGGGAAGCATCAGCCTATAAGCGAGAAATCCCAGCAGGAACAACACAGTTGAGGTAATGTAGCAACGGCTGTGGGTGCCACCTCCTCCCCTGGATTCATTGTCTCCTAGTGGAGATCTGTGCAGAGGGAATGGATCAACAGATGGGATTCTCTGGCTCTCCTCAGTGTGTCCAGGGCCTCACTCTTGAGAGGAGAGTGTATATGACTTGACTTGGAGTCATTTTGCCCTTGGATAGGTTTTAGGCACATTGCCACTGTATTTCTGCTCTGCAGTTACTGAGTCTACATTGCATCTCGGACGTATTATGGAACAGCTATAAAATGTATAAGATTGTCCCTGTCCATGCTATCTGTCGGTGAGCTTGAAATGTAATTAGGAAAAAAAGACACAATATGAACACAATAATTGATATAGCATAGTTTGGTGCAAAGAAACCTAACTCCAAACCCAGCACTTTGTAGCTAGTAGTTTAAACTTTAGAACATGGATTACGTATGTAACATTTATGAGCCTTATGTTTCCTATCTATAATATGGTAACAATAATACTTCCGTTGCAGAGTTACTGACAGAATTTGAATAATCTTGTTATATAGGAACATAGAAGTATTCATACAGAGTATAGAAATACATTTTACAAAAACATTGCTAGTTATATGTATAATTAATTTATTTAAAAGAGTGAATTATATCATATAAAAAGCACTTTTTAAGCCCCTTAAAGGCTTAGGAGATCCAAATGTGGAGCTATAGGTGAATTTCATGTTATTGAAGAACTTTATTCCTCTCCACAATGAAGGCGGCTGAGATTGGATTAGGCTGAGAGAATAGATAGGGTGCACTGTTCAGTGACATGTCAGTGGTGAAGGGGTTGCTAAGAGAACTCTTAGGGCAAGTTGTAATATTGGACTCTGGGTTCTTACTCTCTAATGAAAGATGTGTCCCCTCCTTATGGCCTGTAAAGTTTTAGTCATGCTATGATACAAGCAACAAATCTTTAGCCATGTTTACTGTGAGGAGAAGGTGTAAAAGTTGCCTGTGAGGTAGAAGCAAGAGAATTATTTAAATTGCAGACTAGGAATTAGTAAATGCAGGGAATCTGGACCAGAGGTGATCATGGAAATGCAGGTGATAGAGCACAGAGGATTTTCAGAGCAGAGAAGCTACTCTGTATGGTACTGCAATAGTGGATACATGTCATTATACATTTTTCCAAATCCATAGACTATGGAATGCCAAGTGCAAATCCTAATGTAAGCTATGGACTTTGAGTGATTGTGACGTGTCATTGTAGGTTCATCAGTTATAACAAACATACCACTCTGGTAGGGGGTGTTGATAATGGGTGAAGTTATGCATAGTGGGGGCAGGGGATATGTAGGAAATCTCTGTAGCTTCCATCTAATTTTGCTATGAACCTAAAACTGCTCTAAAATAAGCATATTTAAAACAATAACATAAAAGATTAGCCATTATGATCTCAAATGTATGAAATTAAAATTTTAGTATAGAAAAAAGGTAGGTCATCTAAAAAATACACTAATGTGCTGAGAATATTTTGGCAATGGAATTTCAAATAAATGTTATGTAAATATAATGATTCATGAGCTGAGAACCCAGAATTTTGTATATGTGTGTTTATGTATGTGTCTTATAGTAATACGGGGTTATATTGAATGGCCTTATCACCAGTGTCCCAGAAATATACAAATGCTGCCCTACTAGACTCCTTCCCTATGAAGTACTAAAGGAAGCAAATTTCATGGTAGAAATTCATTCATGAAGACTTCAAAATTGCTTAAAATAGCAATCAAAACTAATTCTGAAGAATAAAAGCAAATATTTATCTTTATCACTCAGAAGTTAAAAGTAGTATCACCATATGACATTACTATAAACGAAGTTGGAAGTCAGCCTTCATGATATTAAATTATGTGATTCTTGAACAATTATTTGAGTTTTTTAATTATTTCAGATTGCATGCATAAAGTATGACTATTAATATTTAATATCATGCCATTTTAAATTTACAAAACTGAAAATCACATAAAATGTATCAGGTATGTACTTGCCAACTAAGGATTTTGAAGGATTTAATATTACAAATCAAGCACTTCACACATAGCCTGGCACATAGTAAGCAGTCAATAGATGTTAACCATCAGTGTTACTGTTATTTCTGAAATCCAAACCACAAATCCCACGGTAAATTACATCACAAGGATGCAGCCAAGTAGATCCAGCATATGGAAAGTTCTACTGGATAAACAACTCAATTTCTTCAGCAAATAATTTGCCAGGAAAAATAGAGAACAGAGAAATGTTAAAAAATATATATATATCAACCAAATCCTAGACTTTGTCTGGATTTATATTCAAACAAAAGAACTATTAAAAAATTCTTGTAAGACAACAGGAAAATGGAACACTGAACCTATGAAGGAATTATTTATTTAATTTTAGATATGGTAGTGACATTATACTTGTTATGTTTCTAAAAAGTCATTATATTTTATATTTTCATAATAAAATATTTATGAATAAGTGATATGACTCTGAGATTATCTTCCAAATAATCCAGTGTGCATGTAAGATAAGTAGCTGGATTTTCCATGACTCGATAACTGTAAAGCTGCACAGTCAATGCACAGTACTGTTCTCTTTAATACTGCATGTAGCTGTATATAGTTGAAATTTTCCATAATACAAAGTTTTCAAAAAAAAGTATTCTGGGAAAGCCAAAAAGGTAGGCAGAGAAGCATTCTGTGTGAGGTTATGTTGGTTTTTAAAGTTTTCCTCATTTTTATCACATTTAGGAACCCTTGAGTAGACAAATGCTCATCCAGACTATAGAAATCTTTCAGAAGTGTAACTCTAAAAATATACATGCAACAAGGAATAATAACAAAGGAAAGCAAAGTAAGGCTCCCTTTATCATTGGTTGGATTAATCCCCAAATTTTATTAATATGATCATTAAGTCAACCCATAATGCAAAAATGGTCATTGAGTACCAGTGCTGTTATATATACCATACTATGTTCTCAGTGTATTGAAATAATGTGGAAGATATAATCATTGCCTTCAGAAAACTTACATGCCAGTGGGAGGAAATATACACATAAGAAATAATTCCACAAAGGTATAATCACAAAATCTGAAGAATTTATAATGGAAAAGAACAAGATAATAGGAGAGAGTATTGCACAGACACCAGGTTTAATTTGGTAGAGTTTAGAGGAGACTTGAAGAAATGTATCTTAAGATGAAATAAAATGGTGTGTGTATTATGTGAAGAACAAGGTTAAGAGTAGCAGAGCAAATGTTTGAGAAAAATTTGCAATGTGAAAGAGAAGGTGAAAATAAAATGAAAAATATCACAGACTTAGACAAGAAAGTTCATATAAGAGCAAACAAACTTGTTTAAACAAAATCTAATCAGAATTATTAGAAAATATACGGCATGTATAAAAGTAATAATGGAGGCTAACGATGGAAACAAAGTTTGGAAAATTAAACCAAGAAAATCTCCCTGAAATTAAAAAAAAGACAAAGAAATTTAGTATATAGCAGAAAAAATAAGATATAGACAATAGACCCAAGTAGTCTATTGTTGTTACATCAAGTAACAGAGCTGGAGAGAGAAACAGAGAAAATTAAGAAGGAATATTGCCAAAGCAAACAATAAGAGGAAATTTTCAGATATAAAGGATCTAATTCTTTAAATGGAAGGGGAAGAAGACTGTCAGATATTTAGCAAAATTAATGAAAAAAGACTCATTCCTAAATACATCATTTAAAATTTTTCAGAACCACAAGGTTTGAAAGAAGACCATAAAATATCCTAGTGGGGGAAGAAATAAAACAAACTGTCAACAGACAAAAACTCAGACTGCCACATACTATTATCATTAAGACAATGACAAAGGTCTGGGAGTTCTAAAGGAAAATATAAATTTGTTTTCCATTAATAAATGTATACCTTTTCAGAGTCACATATACCTTTTCAAAATCATGATCAGCCATGAAGAAAGGGTTTAAATACTGTTAGACATGAAAGGATATAAATTTACTTACTATACATAGTTTTATTGGAAGTTGATTAAGAATATGACTTAGTAAAGTGAGGTTGTTATCCAAGAAACAATGGATTCAACCCAGGACATCACTGAACAGAGATCCTACTACTGCAGCTCCAAGGCAAGTGTAAGATGCTTGACTATGTAAGTGATATTTATACAGTGATAAACAACCTTTTTTTCCAACTTTTAGAATTAAGCTATGGGCAATGCCCAAAGACAATTATTGTTAGAGCAGAATGGCAGTATTTTCAACTTTGACAATATTCTAAAAAGGGCAAATACCTCAGTGTGGTGAGTGGAAGCATGAAGGAGAGAGGGAATGAAGGGTAGCGATGCCAATACCTTCATCTTCCAAGAAGGAGGATAAGAGACGTTGGCCATTGAAGGGAAGAAGACACAAAAATAAATACATTTAAATTAAAATAGAAACTGAGAGAAAAATTACAGAAGATGAAGTTGGGCTGTTATGCAGTCAGGAAAAGTGTCCTAGTTGAACCCTCAAGGAGCTCTGAAATTGCCAGAGCCCTTCACAGTTGACCCAAGTTAGCATGGGGTTCAGGACCTTTATAACCTGCAATGAGCAGTCATTGGAGATGAGTTCCCCTTGGAAGTGGAGTGAAACTGAGTGAGACAGCTCTCCTCACCTAAGGTAATTCCAAAGAGGCCAAAGAGCTGAGGGCTGTCAGACAGCGACATTCCCAGCAACTGAGGGAATAAAGCCTTCATTCCCAAAGGGAAGAATCTTGGTGGATCAGGACAGCATCCCCGACAGAAGCATTGTTCTAGTCATTGGGAATACATATACTTTCAGGTGGAAGAAAACAAACAAAAAAATAAGTGTTTTTTAAAATGTATCATCTCAACTTTCATTAACGCAACTGACTCATCTTTCTAACTTACGAACTCTATTCCTTCAGTTAAACACCCCATTATAGTCAGGAAGTCTAAGGTTATGTTGCAATAAGACCTTAACCTGCAGTAAAAATTTAATCTCAGTGGCTTAGATCAGTAAAGGGGACTCAATTCCACAGTCATTCAAGAGATTCAGGTTATGATTCAGAGTTTTGATGCCTTATACACTGTGACCTCAACAATGGCTTTCATGCTTCCAGTAGTAGGGAAAGACAAAGCAGGGAGAGCCTACACCCACTTTTAAGTTCCATTGGCTGGTACCAGTCACATGACTCCAACCTTACTGCAGAGGAGGCTGAGAAATGTACAGGGGCTTATGGGACATTGGTGTACACCACTGTCCCCAAAAGACATACCGTCTGATATGACTGGAGGTAAGACCGGATGCTCATGACAAGCAGGTTGCTCTCTAGCACGTCTATACACTTTTCTATACACATGGCTACTAAGTCTTGGGTTTTTTTTTTAGCAAACTTGTTTGTAAAATATGTACTTGTTATTTTTAACTAAATTATCAATAAAAGATTACATTTCCCAATGAAATCTAGGTGCAAAAAATAATTGTTTCTGTGAAATTGTCACTAGAAGAAAGGGAAGAAGACTCTGACACTTTAATTAAGAAGGAATCTTCCAGCACAGGGCCCGTATGACAACATGGAACTGTAATAATGTTACAGGATACACTTCACCTTTCACCCCCATAATAGGGCTTATGTTTTAACTAGAAAAGTCAGAGCTCAATGTCTCCCTAAACTCTGAGTCTGGTTCAATCTCCAGCCCTGCCTCTTGCCTTTGCAGGGTCAAAATCAAAGAGCTACATATAGAGACCGAGGGCTCCCTGGACACCCAGCACAAGTCCTCCCAGTTTCCCCATGGTGTCACTCTCTCTTCACGCCTGTGAGTGACAATGAGCACCCGACGGAAGATGACAAAGTCGGCACAAAACCTCTGACCCCACTCAGCATCTTGCTCTGGACAGATCTAGACTCCCCCTTGGAAAGCAGAATCTGGAGTCCCCACACTCTACAGTGTGGCCGATGACCTGCAGTACAGCCTGGGGTACGAGAGATAAGAGTCCCAAGAAAGCTTAGTTCTCCCTCTGATCTCATCCAGGAGAGGGAAGGAACTGCCATTGGCTTCTCGGGTCCAGTGTGTGGGTGAGGGAGCAGAGCAAAGGGGATGCCTGCTCCTCAGGGGCACAGCCATCCATAACCTCAGAGGTAAGTTCCCAGCCACCTGTCTTAATGACAAATCCCAGAGACTGAGATGAAGACCAGCTTTCAGGACTAGGTCAATGCCTAAGGCGCCACAGTGCATAGTGACCTCCCTAACCCCTGGGAAGGGAATATCATCATGAATGAACAGGTCATTATGTTCACAGAAAAGTGGAGCTGTGTCCTCTGGGAATTCCAGCTCAGCAATGGCGTCAGGCGGCTGTGCAGGAGACAAACAATGGGATGGATGTGAGTCAGCCGTAGAGCCAAAGAGGGACCCTGGGGCCAGAGGGAGCTCTGCCACTTGTCTTGTGGGGTCCACAAGACACAATCTTCCCCTTATGCCACTCCACTTGGGGGGACTCTGGAGGCTGGGTGCCCCACGTGACAGGTGCAGAGATCTCCATGCTGGGAAGGCGTTTCTGAGAAATCCAGGCCCTGTTCTTAATAAAAGGGGTGGGCACAATGCCGGCTGTCTGCACCCCACGTACAGGATGATGTTTCTGAGAGGTGGGCTTGTTACCAGTCAGAATCTCTCCTAAAATGATTAAAACTCTGATATAAACGCTAGAAACACACAACAGAGACAGACTCATACACATACACACACACACACAGAGACAAAGATAAGATGTGAGGTGATGAGAAAGATGCAGAAAATAGAGAAACAAAGAGACAACGAGATGTAAATAGTGACAAAGGTGTAAATAGAGAAAAATTGATTTTCTTTCTCCTCTGTCCACACCATGATGCTTCTAGTCTCCTTCAAGGAACAGTCCCTCCTTCTGGTCCCCAGTTGGTTGGGTCACCTCAAAAATATGTTCCTTCACTCTGTAGAAGTTTTCTACCTCTGCTCATTAAAGGAGGTTCAGAGGACAGATAACTCATCATCATGTTTAATTATGGTAAAAAGCTCTATAATCAGGTAAATAGTTTCAATGAGTTTACCCACAGAGTCTGTTGGGTAAAAGTGGGAACAGAGAACCCCCTTGAGCTCCATGTAGATGCAGCTGGCAGGGCACAGGCAGAGGCTCGGGTCATGCAGGAGACAGCGTCACAGCCAGAGCCTCAAGGCGGGGGTCACAGGAAGGGACCAGGTGACTGCGTCAGAATCACCACAGGATCTGACCTCAGAGTGGGGCAGGCTGACAGGCAGCTTGGAATTCTGGGCAAGGACAAACAGGCATTACAGAAGAGCAAAAGCCAGTCCCAAAGTGTCCTCCAGGAGTCAGCGCACGAGCCCTGCAGAAGAGAGACAGTGATCAGCACGCGGTACCCTGAGGGACGCGCCCTCTCCTCTCCTCGCGGGGTCCCTGCAGCATCAGGCAGAGAGAGCTGAGGCCCAGGGCACATCGTCATCCCCCCTCCCAGTATCTGCAGGAAGGGGAATCAGCTAAAGAGGACACAGCACTTCAGCCTGATGAAAATGTGTGGGAGGCGGGGAGCGGCTGTTTTCCTTATGGGGGATACGAAGAGTTCAATCTTTTCAGTAAGTTTAATGATAACACAGCTTTTCCCGCTGCTTTCAGTCACTTATAAACGCCCACAGGTAGTGCCAACATGTGGCAAGAAGTGGGCACCATCCTCATGTCTAACACCCACACCAGATTTCTGGCTCCAAGTTTCACAGAAAGATGCCACCAAAGTCATGGCCCAGTCCTGGGGAACAACTTCAGGATCTTCTTACAGAAAACTGCCCCCTAACTCCTGATCCCATAGCAGGGAACAGGCCATGAAGGAGACCACTGTGCCCAGGTACACTCACCTCACATCCCGCCCTCCTTTGCCTGTCCCCCAAGCCCTATGCAATCAGAGTAGAAATATTGCGGCTTCTGGTGGAGGCCCAGGACATCCTACGAAAGGTCTCATGACCCAAACAGCCAGTGCCTCACTCTCCCCAAAGGGAAATAAGATGAGTAACTTAGTTCAAAATATATTTCCTCCTTACACACAAGGTCTTAACTGCCCTAAAATAAAATCTCACAAAATGAATGAAACTGTTTCTAGAAGGAAAGGAAGCCAATGCTCTGACTGTCTTAATGGAGGAAGCTTTTGGAAAGGAGCCCATGAGACAATGATGAAGTCTCTGATGGGAGGAAGTCCAAGAATAAACTCCACCTGTCCCCTCTGTAAAGGGCTGCCTTTCCAATGGTAAAACCAGACTCCACCATCTGCCTACGCTGTCCTGTTTCCTCCCACCACCAGCCTAGCCTCCTTCCTTTCATGCTCAGGAGGAAAGAGCCACATCTAGAGACAGAGGCCTCCCTGAACAGAGGTCTCAGTCACAGCCCGTCGTCCCCCTCTCCCCAGAGTTCCTTACCCTTCCGGCTCCTGTGACGGATGAAAAGGCCCAGCCCGAGGAAGACCAGCCCCAGCATGAAGCCCCCAACACCGCTCAGCATCTTGCTCCGGGCGGACTCAGACTGTGCCCCTGGGGAGCAGAGCCTGAGTGTCAGCACTTGTCCCCACCTCCCAGGTGTCCCTTTGAGAAGCCCAAAATCCAGTCTGAGGTACAGGAGGTGGGGGTGCCAGGGGAACCCAGTTCCCCATTCTGACCACCCCGAGGGGAGGGACCAGCCAACAGATCCCTGGACAGACTGGGCAGGTGGGAGAAGGGGAAGGCGGATCCCTGGTCCATACGGACACATCCATAACCTTAGACCCTAAGAGCCTGGTGACCAGTCAGTCCTGCAGAGCTGCGGGGGCCGGGCTCTGCAGACAGGGAGTGTTGAGGGATCTGCCTGTATCTGGAAAGACCATGAGCTCAGGGTTCCTCTGATACCCACGCTATGAGGCTAGAGGCACTCTTGCCCCCTGTGATTTCCAGCTCAGTAGTGATGCTGGGGACAAGGGCTGAGGTGGGATGGACCAGGGAAACTCTGTCTGCCCCTGTCCTGTGGGGCCCACAGTGAAAGGAAACAAACTGTCTCTTACGCCACTCCACTGTCACGGGGCTCTGGAGGCTGGGGTGCTCCACGCGGCAGGTGTAGACATCTCCCTGCTGGGGAGTCATTTCCAGCATCACAAGGATCTGGTAGGTCCAGTCCCCATTCCTGATAAGAGGGGTGGACACGACGCCGGCTGTCTCCTCCTGATCATTCCGGAACCACCGAACTTTGATCTGACTTGGGTAGAAATCTGTCACTGAGCAGACCAGCAGGTTGTGCTGGTTTAGAGCCTCTGTCCTGGATGTGGAGATGGTCACTGTGGGTTCCACTGAGGAGAAAAGACATAGTGAGACATGAGATCACGTAGAAAATCTCCCCACGGGGAAGAGTCCTTCCATGGTACCCGGTGGAAATATCCCTGGATTCCAAGTCATGGGTTAGGATCCAACCTGGGCCACTTTATTAGCCTGAATAAACACATTAGTCAGTTTACTTTTCAGAGTCTCAAGAGATAGTTGTAATCATTCTATGAGAGTTACTATGTTGATACTAATTGATAAAAATTAAGTATTTTAAAATTATAAATTGCTATATTATACAGGCCATTGTTTGTAAACATTTTTTTAAAAATGGGTGGGGGTATAGCTCAGTTGGTAGAGCGCATGCTTAACATGCACGAGGTCCTGGGTTCAATCCCCAGTAGCTCCATTAAAAAAATAAATTTTAATTTAAAAATAAAAATTAAAAATCTGGACTTGTTTTCCCCTACACCTTTTGAAGGTGGCCATCAGGATCAGCTCTAGTGACTCATGCTAGGACAATGACACTGCTTTCTGTTAGTCCCAATGGTCCTCACAGGAGAGAAAATCCAGCAGCTTTGACTCCCACCTGCTGGCTGTGAGATGAACAGCACTAGTCATACACCCAGGAATATAACATTGACTGAGAATTTTAAAAGTACAGACATTTCTATGTGCAGTAAAGTAGGACAACAGTGACCATCACATCCTTCCTACAAAGTAATGCTTCTCAAACAGAGTGTATCTATAATTCTCAGCCCTCTAATACAGAATCTGAGAGCAAGAACACTTCTTACATGCTGCCATTTTCAGAATGTCTATCAGCAAAGTGGATGGTGATGCTGGGGGAGTGGGGAGGAGGAGAGAGACTAGGCAGGGTTTAGGCCAAAAGAAACCTGAAACAATTTTTATTCAATAATTATCAGCATCAACTTATTTAGCCCAAAACTTCAGCCCTTTCTATTGTGCCATTTGTTGAGCTTTTCTAAGAAATTAGGACTCTCTCACAAAACCATTCAAGTGGTGTTTTTATTTTCAGTAAACACCTTTTTTCCTCGGACTTTGTATTCACGAATTCTAAATTAAGATCCAAGTCAATAAGCGTTTACTTTAAAAGCATTAAGCAAAACAGTAAAGAATAATTAGTAAAGTCAGTTTTTAAGGATCTGTTTACCTTGTTTTCTCTTGAGCTTATGTGATTGGGTAACTGAGCATTTTACTTAGTAATTTACCAAAGGTTTATGGAGTTCGTATAATTAAGACAGCCCCTTGCCTGGAAGAGGTCCAGGGCTAACGACACCGCGATACCCTCTTAAGAAACCAGGATTACGATGAATAATGATTTGAAACCAAAAAGTGAAACTATATTATTTCTTGCCTGTAATACATTACCACGTGTGCAAGGTGCCCTGAGCGCAGCCATGGAGCAGCCCTAACTCCCCCAGGCCGAGCTGTTAAGAAGCAAACACACCTGAGGCAGGAGGCGGGGATGTGCAGACTGAGTGGGAAGAGCGGCCCAGTACGGCCCACAGGCGGTGGAGCCACGCCGGGCAGGCCGGGCCGACGCTGCGGGGGATGTTTCAGGGCAGCCAACGTCGTCCCCCTGCTGTGTCCTCGGTCCCCCCCCCCTCCGCACAGGACGTCCCGGCCGTGCTGTCC